AGATCACAATTTAAACCTTGTTTTAAAAATGAACATTTTATTTTAATTGGTCGAATTTATCTTCTGAATATAAAGGTGACGACTGACCCATTTTGCTCAATTGTGATGATGTTATTTTGTGTCCGTATTTTTATTTGTTCGTTGTGCAGATATTTTTGTTAAAAGGTTATGTTTTGTGGGTGTCACGGAGGGATTGTCTTGAGTTGTAATTCATTGATAAACTGCGTTTAAAAACTGACTTCAACTGCCTCTTTTTTGAAGTCGGTAAATTAATCGACGAAAACCTTCTTTTCTCAAAACTGTATCAAAATCGATTCAGGCTTAGTTGAACAAACATACATACATACAGGTCCAACAAAGAATCTCCTTGTTCCTTTTTAAAGTCGGAAAGGATATAAAGAAGTCTAAACAACTTTTACTACTTACTTATAGAGCAAGTTTTAAATTGTAAACTCAGAATACATTTTTGACGTCATCACCATCCATTGTCATTATCATTATCAATCAGTTTTCCTAAACTCACAGCTGGACAAAGTCCTCTCCAATCACACGCAACAGCTTTAAACAATAATTTCATCAAATCGAAAACTTTATGATACATAGTCGTGTATCAGCTTCAAGGCCAACAAGACAGTTGTTATCTAGTAAGTAATATATAATTACTCTACACGAATCTAACTTACTTTACTTACAATTTCGCCTCAGGCTGTCTGCCCTTGTACTTACTTATGTATATCTCAAATCTCCAAATCAGATTTTACCCACATACATAGACGGACACAGGGCCATCTTAATCTACAAAATTACCCCAACTCCCCCGGGGTAAGACAGGGTAGTTATCTCAGCTACAGATTACCCCAGCAACAAATCCTTATTAATTATTTTATTCGCATTAACAGGGATAGATATTATTTACACAGTTAACCTATAATAATTTTCTTCTATCAAGCCTTTGGCTCTGACGTAAGAGCAAAATTATAATTTCAGACAGTCATTTTAGACTGAAATTAAGATAAAAGAACAACAGGTCTAGCCTATAATTTAGACAGACGAATTTTCACTTAAAAGTACCGTACTGCCTGAATTACCTAAGTTTACGTAGAAATTTAAATTAATAAGAGAAAAATCTTAAGTTTATTTTTACTTTGTTGGTAAGGAACGTGGAATTACTTTATTCTTGTTGTTAAGTACGGATTTTAATGTCGTCGTGTCATCAACACAAAATTTTTCATATTGTAGTAATGTATCTAATAAATCTTGCCGAACAACTAGACACGTTTGCGCAGGACAGAATCAGATGTTTTGCTTGAGCAATGATAGAAAAAAGTACATTTACACTTTCTTTTACTTACCCTTTGTCGTTGGACAAAGGAGTAAAAGAAAGTGTTGACTCGCGCTTGCTACCATACGATACACTTGAACTATTATAACTAGATGAATTATGACATAACTGTTTGATGAGGAACTCGACTAGTTACGAGCCACGCTAGAGGCGCATATTCATGAGCAGCATTCCGCGACACGCGACACGGAGACTGTCGCGTTGCTACTGGCTACTCTCACGAAAGTTTTAATATAAACATGACTAGATGACTAGTACTAGTATTTGTATTGTAACTTTTGTGAGACATACTAAATAAATTATTATGTTTTCGGCTTACTCACGTAGTAATTTGACGAGGAACTCGACTAGTTTTAAGCCATGCTAGACGTTCATATTCATGAGCAGCATTGCACTGCTACTCAAGTAGCGCGACAGTCGCCGTGTCGCGGGTCGCGAAATGCTTGAAAGTAAAACTGAAACTAGTCAATTTCCTCGTCAAATTACTACGTGAGTAAGCCGAAAACATAATAATTTACTAGTACTAGTAGTCCATAAAATAATATGCTACCCACTTCTATCGACTCCCTTAAGAATAGATTCATGTACTGCTATCAAGAGCCAACAGCGATGGAAAAGTAACGAGTGGTTGATACTCATTTTATCGTCAGCATAAAATATAAACTATAGGAACTTGTTTTACGATGTACTTAAGTTGAGTCTTCATAACTTTATAGCTCTATATCGCAAGGCAGATCTTGAAAGTTTCAGAAGTGTTTGTCTTTATAATGTTGAAAAACCACTTGCGGTTTTTTCATGTGTTGTTTAACGAGAGATCTGTCTAGATTTCTGGAGCAACAAAAGTATATTTGGTGCTTTTTGAATTTACATTTGTAGTTATTCTCAATTTAAGAATAGAGTTATAAAGAAACCTGCAAAGAATGCCCTTTTATGAACAAAAAGTAATGAAGACTTTATAAATATTACCAAAATCAATTTTTATAAAAAAATACTTATTTAGTAATGGCAACAAAAAAGTACCAGCATTACTTTTTGAATTTCGAATTCGGTTTGAATATTTTCAGTTCGATTGTCATCATTGGTGTTCGGCGCACGTTTGGATATGAAGACGAGCATGCAAAAATACTTTCGAAAATTCCACGTAATATGATTTCGCGTTGAAATACCTACATGGGCATAATTCGAACGAGAGTTTAATGTAAATGATTATAATTTCTGCAATTGATTGTGGCTTATACCAGTGTAAAATTGTAAAACAAATACGAATGGAGGATATATTATGCTCACAATTTATATTTTCTATAATTTGTATACCATGTAGTTTTTATGTTGTGTTTGTTTATATCTACTATTCATTGTAGAATGTATGTTCTCATGAAGAAGGGATTTGTATTAAAACAAACATGAAACAGATTTTTCATCTTATTTATTTCAATATGTGCACAGTTAACGAGTAGCTTTGAATTATTTATACAACTTATTACATAGTTACTCAATATTCAGGTTACACATTCGATTAAATACACTAGTTCTGACTAAAATTAGTGAACTAAAATCGATGAGTCTCAAACATGGATGATTTATTTTTGTCACAGTAGAAGGTCAGAGGGGAGAACAAAGAAAGGTAAATAAACACAAGTATGTGACAAACAGACAAATTCACAGTCTCTGGATATTAAGTAGGTATCTAACAGATAAAATGAGACTTGTATAGATCAGCCAATGAAATACTACTACTTAAATATTATTAATAATATCAAGGGTACGGTTTAATCAAAAGGTAAATTAGGCCCTTATAGTTTTTTCAAAATAAATATTTTATACATTTTTAGATTATTTAATATTCTTATGTCAATAGGTACGTGTTTAATAGAAACCAGCAAGTCATTTTCAGTTTATGTCGTCTTTAATAAAACTGACGAGTAGTGATGTACCACATATCGATATAAATGAATCTCCCCGAGAAATGATGTCGTGAAGAATAAACTGCGACGCTCGAGCCAAATTATGTTTTGATCGAAAGTGATTTTTCGTTTCACGTGAAAATGAATTACACGAGCCGTCTGCAGGGAAATTCAAGATGGCGAAAGTTCTAATTTCAAAGCCTTGGGTATTGGAAACTGAAAATTGCTTCTCAAGTTCCTGTAATATAATATACAGCCTACTTCAACTCAATCATCCATTTAGATAACTTCAGCATTTAAATATGGAAACTCAGTGAGGTCACCTAGATATTTGAAATTAAATCGATTATCAAAATACAATTTTATACAAAATACACATTGGAGAAACTACGCGTTACAGACTGTATTCCCACATTCTAAAAGAGTTATATTTTTCTATACACAAATATTTCTTTTGTCCATTGAACAATATGAAAAACAAATGGAATCGATGATTACTTAGGCTCGATTCACACTACAAAACGACCATTATTACAAATGTCTTGGATCCCACAAGCAGTAGTAATAAGTACACACAATTCCACTGCTATTGTACTGAGATGAAAACATATTCAGCAAACAGTTGGATAGCCAATAAAACACCTAATACATAGGTGTTATTTTCTTACAACTGATGGGGTACTTATACCTAGAACCATTTATACCAGTATATTTGTTATGAAACTATACGTCTAAATATACATACAAGATAAAAATGCTATTCAGATCATATTTACAGAACTAATAAACGTTTTATACGTACATTTATCAACTTAATAACTACATGCAACCTGGAAGCACACAGAAATATAGATAGATACATTTTAATTACAAATTCCATTATAATACAAATTGTATTTATTAAGCATAGTGCACAAGAGTAATCTCTAAAACCACCACTAGTTATTCCTATCTCTTAAAAAAACATCACAAAATAAATCTTTGACATTAGAATATTTCCTGCCAGTAAAGTTGATGTTAAAAACAAAACGTTCACAACAAAGACAACAAAGACTGCTCATGTGCACTAAGCCTATTTTTTTTTATAAATTATACATACGTTTATCCAGTTAAAGTATCTATGGTGAAACTGTAATGATTATTATACTCTAGTTTTGAATCGAATGGAATATTTGTAGATACATGTTTGTGTTTACTATTACTATGTACAAGTTAATTATATAGAGGTATAGTTATTTCAACATAACATTATGTTACGTTGGCTATCCAATAGAGCATGTTGCAATGATATTAAGTATCTAGTCTAGTCCAGTCCTCTTTTGAATTTACCTGTGAGAGAGAAATGTTACTGGTAGAAAATAATTATTCAAAAGTAACAATAGATTTCGTTTTTAAATATCTTTCATTTATATTCAGGCAACGACGAGTATAAAGAAGTTTGTAGTGATAAATAAATTGAATTGTACTAAAATATGATTTATCTACAACACATTATAGTAGGATTTCAATTAGGAAAGAAGTTCAAATGTTACAAAACATATTTCGATACTTCCCGTACCTATATACGATTTCATCTATTTCAATAATTACCTTTCACTTTGAAATTAATCCTGACATGCTCTATTGAATAGCGTTCGTTAATTAATACAGACATACAAAATGTCATTACCAACATTTTACATTTATACATAATTTTAAGGATACCAAATTAACATTAAATTATTAATTAAATCAAAGTACTCATTTCGTACTTGGGTTCATCAATCATTAAAATGGAAATTCTTCAAACCATATTTGATACTCGATTAAGAAAGTAGTAATATGTAGGAATATTGAACATAATTTATTAGGTTACCGTATTTGCCCTAAAATTATTTGAGGTCACATAGCAAAGGGAAAGTTGTAACATAATGACTATTGTCACAAATGCTAACATAATAAATAATGCTTTGGAAACACAATCAAACAAAAAAGTATGTGCCCAAAAAGTTTAACTCGAATAAAAATAACACACAAAAAGTTACTACATTATCAAACGAGTATTCCGTCTGGAGATATAAAATTTAAAAACGTTCATATAACCAAATGTAATGTACGAACGAGCACAAAGATGTAGGTTCTATCGCGCCCATCTTCAGGGACATTAAAATGAAATTTGCGTTCGTTCAAAGAAATAATCTGCATGCAACATATCGACGTAGTAACAATACTGTTCGTTCGTAATGTCTCTTCGTTTACTTACGTAGCTTAGCGATTTATTGTCACCCAATATGAAGCTTGCATTGCGCGCCTAGTACCGCATGGTCCTCTCGTTTGCTACGTTGTGAGATATGTATTGTTTCTATCAACACTATACACATATATTACAGGTGTGTCACTCCGCCAATCACGTTGGTTCACGTGATTGGCGTGCACGAACCATCGAGACACTTTAGTCCTGGCTCACAAGTCCCACTGAAACCGCCGCAGTCCTCCCCTAACGTCCTAGCGCATACTTTACAGCATCTGAAAAGAGTAATATGTATTAGATCACATAACATCACACCTGAATTCCCTGAAGGATAATGTAAGAGGTCGACACGCTCTTATTTCGTCGAATAAATAAATAATTCAACAAGTTCTAAAGAGACAGGCCTATTGAACCGAGCAATATTCCCGACTCTGGTCCACGTGTTACTTGGAATTTCCTAATCGATAATATATTATAATTCATGTTTTTTGGCTCGTGTATCGAAGGTCAATATTGTTTTAAGAATAAGAAAAAGTTACGTGCTCAGTAACTTTGTTCTTTTAACATGTCTCAGCATTTGATGTTACAGAAATAAATACGTTTGAGTAAGATTTCCTAGAACTTTTCACGACTTATTAAAACATGATATTATGTAGAACTAGTATGTAGATTCTGTTAAGTATAAAATTCTTGGTAGAACTCAATAAACTTAATTTAATTATCAAAATATACGAGTAACCGTCAAAAAAATAAAGTAAACTTCAAAAATTGCTTTTTGATTTTTTGTTTGTATTTATAAATCGTGGTGGGTAAGTTTGCCGTTGGATCTCAGTAATTGCATTAGCCGGCCGACCGGCTTCCCTACCCTATTTTTGAAAGTCCACAGACAAACTTCTAAGTTGATCAGCCCTTGGCGAAGTTTGCGAAGTTTCCTAGTAAAAGCCAATGGTAATTACCTGAGATAGAAGATTTTGCGTCATAGACTAATTTGGTGCCACAAGTTATGATATATTTTTGGAAACATTGCGGGTTTTACCTCCATTTTTATTGGTTATTGGAATTGGTTATGAGAAGAAATGTAATTAAAGATTGCCATTTGCAGATAAACGTGATTAGTGGTGCAGAACTTTCTTATCCTGTTATTTATCTAACGTGATTTAGAGGTGCACTGGTAGGTTAATAAAAAATAAGTATCTTTTTTTTGAGGGGGAAATAAAAAAAAGCTACTTAACTCGTCGAGTACCGTATTTATAGACACAATTAAAGAACAATAGGTTGCGGTCACCGGTGACCGCTTGGTGTTTGACAGTTTAATAGGTGTTAACCTACTCACGTACATACCAATGTGACTTTTTCCTAGTTATATGTACTTTCTAAGATTATATAGACTCCACTGACAAACGGTGAAGAAAACCTGGCCCTTTAATTTCTAAATATAAGTTTGAAATCGTCAACCTGAATTGAGCAAGCGTGGTGATTAATGCTCAAACCTTCTCCGTCAACCGGAGAAGCCTTTGGTCAGCAGTGGCCACTTATAGGCTGTTTATTTTTTTCAGCCTACAGACAATCTCTTTTACTCTTCTCTTATAAACAAGATACATTTCTATCATCTTCAAAAAACCAACTTAACAAAAAACTTTTTAGCTATTTTTTCTCGGCGACTCAACATAAAATAACATGCCTTTAATTACTTACAGTTACCAAATTTTTTACGTAACAAAGTATCTTAATCAATATAGTCCCTGATAAATGTACGGCTAATATCCTATGAGCCGTGAATATCAGGTCAAAGGACCTTAATTTAATTGATTCTATTTTAGTCTCAACTAATTAATTGGACTCTGAGACTTAATTGAAAACTAATGTTGTTTGAAAATCGTTAATTTACGACAACCATTGCAAAAAGAATTTTTTTATGAAATACGATTGGACGGATCATTAGAAGAGAATGCGATCAGTGCTCACAATCACCAGAGGAGTTACAAGTTAGAAAGAGAAATAAAGAGAGAGAATTGACTGGGCTCGATTCCCGGTCCGGCCAAAGTATTACTAGGTTTTCAGTAGTAGCACAGAGTCTGAAAATGTTCCCGGTATATAGCAATAGGCTCACCCCATATTACATGGGACTCATAACATGAACAGTGAAAAGTGGGTGTTACATTGTACAGTGGCATTAAGTGCCATTATGTGCATCTCTGTCACGTGATGTTAAGTGAGAGATAAATAGAGAAAGAGAGAGAGAGAGAGAGAGAGAGAACACTCCTCGGAAGGATTTGCTGTTGCAGAATTATTATTTATGGCATATACTCTGTTAAAATCGGTCTTTAATAGCCCCATACCGTGTTAATTGCAAATGGATAATTTTCAAAGAAAGGCTCTAGCCACAATAGAATTTATAATAATCATTAAAAAAAAAATCCATTTTCCATAATCCCCAAATTTGTTCTCACTAAGAGCCTCTTAGAAGCGTACTTAGAAAATAAACTTCTTTTGTAATAATTTCTTAAGTACCTTCCTTCCTTCCCACTTCGGAATTAAAAATTTTGGAACAACTGGAATAAAAGGGTTGGGGGTCAAAAGGACACAACTTAGTGAGAGGTTATAACTCCAAAAGCCAAAGTTTCCAGTCCTAAAGCGCTTTCACTTGGTTACTTAATTAAGTTAAAACATTTATTGGTTACCTATAAAGTTTTAATTAATTTGCTAAGTAAATAATCTAGAGATGTGGTGGTGCTTATCTTATGATGGTGTGAAATTTATTGGTATGAGAAGTATGTGCTTGTAATGAAAATAAAAAAGTGCTTAATTGTTTTAGAAAACACCTAAGTGTGTTAATGATCAATCTATTTTTTATTGCATTATGTTTAATGCTCAATAATATATTTATAATCATACAAAAGTCTCATGAAGTTCAGTATTTTCATCTTATGGCTTGATATTTTGCGTTAGATATTGAATGGATAGTAAGTAATATATGTATTTAAAGAGACGACAAAGTGGCTATTGAATAAAAATTACAGAGCCAATAATAAGTAAGGACAACTCCAAAAATATTATCCGAATACTATCAATTACCTACATAACATAACATCACGCCTTTTATCCCCGAAGGGGTAGGCAGAGGTGCACATTATGCCACTGTACAATGTAACATCCACTTTTCACTATTTATGTTATGAGTCCCATGAAATAGGGGGTGAGCTTATTGCCATATACCGGACACAATTCCAGACTCCGTGCTACTACTGAGAATTTTTTAAAACCCAGTTATACTTTGCCCGACCCGGGAATCGAACCCGAGACCCCTTGCCCGGCAGTCGCACTTACGACCATTCGGCCAACGAGGCAGTCCATCCGAGGCAATATCAATTACTTTACATAATAAAATGTACAAATCTCACCTGCACGGATCCCAAACAACGATCCCCATCCCGGGGCAGCCACTCGGCTCCAGCACCTCGCACTCCCGGGGGTTACACACACAGTCCCACCCCCGCACCGCCCCGGCTACCACCACCACCGCCACCATCGCCAGCCAGCTACCCCTGCTCATATTGCGCACATTTCACGAAACAGACGCCACTACACCGCTATAGTGTCCGAGGCTCATGGTTGCACATTCAGCTTGATGATCAGGCTAAGGAACAGGTTGTTCGCATTCTGTAACAAGAGAGAAATATTCGGTTCAAAGAAACGCTACTTTTTGAATAGATAGCATACACAATATGACTCCTTTTAAACAGTAAAGGAGAAGGTACAGTGTACAACTGTACATACATAATCCTTATATATATAATTCTTCTGTGAGTGTGTATGTCACTGAACTTATCTCAGACGACTGGACCGATTTTGATGAAATTTTTTGTGAGTGTTCAAGGGGATGTGGGAATGGTTTAGATTCACAAATCAGCCCGACAGATGGCGCTGCAGTCGCTATCTAGGTAATTTATCTATACCTATTATTATATTATTATTATTATTATATGCAGGGCAACGTCTGTCGGGTCCGCTAGTATATTAATATAATGATGCTTCCACTTTTTTACTAGGTATGACAGTATTATGTTATGGGTCCAGCTAAGAAGACCTGCTGTGTTTCCCAAACATTTTATTTATAGCATAATAAATATGTTTTGTTTTTCTTGCTTTATGGAATTGTACGTTTGAGCAGCGTAGTCGTAGGTTAAATAACTTTTTGTTCACTCTAACTGGAAATTAAATAAATTACGATTTCAGTGGAAACCAAACTCGATAACTACACCTTTCTTCTTCAAACATTATCGTCACGAAACCTCTAATTGATAAACAAGTACACTGAGTTAATAACAACTTTCAAAGAAAGAACTATAAATATTTTGTCCTTTTACCAATTTTCAGGAATCGATGACTTAACGCGATAAACACTATAAAACCTCTATACAAATGACTGCCTCGTTGACCGAGTGCCCGCAAGTATGACTGCCGGGCAAGGGGTCTCACATTAGATTCCCGGGTCGGACCAAGTATTACTGGATCTTTTTAAATATTCTCAGTAGTAGCACGGAGTCTGGAATTGTACCCGGTATATGGCAATAGGCTAACCCCGTATTACATGGCACTCATAAAATAAATAGTGAAAAGTATTTAAACAGTGGCATTAAGTGCCGTAATGTGCCCATTATGTGGTAGGCAGAGGTGCCCCTCTGCCTACCACTTCGGCGATAGAAGGCGTGATGCTAAGTTACAAATGACTAAAACTGAACGAAAGTTCTGTGAAATATCGAGAATCGTATAAGATACTGGTAACCAAATAGCAACCGTTTTCCTTGTAATCGGGAGTTCGACTCACTCCCATCTTAATATAATATTACTTCAAATAGATTAAATAACACCAACGCGATAAGCTCGAAAACCCTTTCCATTGAAACAATTTAATTTTGAACACAAATACTTAAATTTCTGAAGCCGTTGAATTAACGAAGATCGGAGCAAATATTTCATTAAACCAACTTCAGTGGAATAAGTAACGTTTATCGCTTTAGTATATTATGTAAGTATGTATATATGTTTATGTACTGTTAGATATTTTTTTAATATCAAATACTTCCAGTCACTTCTCTTATACACAAAACGCAATGTAAGTATTCTATCTAATATATTTTTATGAGGCCGTGGTATCATTCTAGTTGAGACAGCCGTTTCGTGCTGAAGCATGATTTATCTGCGTATAAAAATATTTTACCGATAGTATTTTTTATAGATTTAGCCCGTAAATAAGCAAACGGATTAACTGATGGTAAGCAATCGGCGCCGCTCATCGACACCTAAAACACTAGAGGCGTTAGTTTCAGTATAAGAAAAAAAAATTTTAGTAAACAATTTAATTGAACAATTTTAGTAATTTGCATGCCGCAATGACGGCGAAACATGTTGGTCTTTTTTTTTAATTTTTATACAACATCTCTGTATTTACCGTGTTTCTGGCAAATAAATATATTATTATTATTATTTTACAAGTGCGTTACCCGACTTTTGGGAATTGGGAATTTGAGGATTGTGGCAGATTCGGGGATTGCGGAATCAGAGCACGGGGGAGGGGGGGTAATTGCGCCTTCGGTTAATAGTTTATCAAGGTCTATAACGAGACGGTACCTTTTTCAATAGACTTAAAAAATTAGAGACTGAAACAAATAAGGAGGTTCGTAGAAATATGTTTTATGTTAATTAATGTCTACGACTTTGAGACTAAATAAATAAGAAACTTTTAACAAATTAGTTCAAGGTTAAGACAAATATTATGTCTATGTTCATTTGTAATAGACTGACTGCCTCACTGATCGGGGAAAATTTATTTGGGATTTTGTTTAGCAAAGATGACATGTTTAATATTAGCACTATTATAATGTAACAATATTGTACGAAAATTGTATCACTGTATGAAAAAGACTTCTAATACATTAGCATATATGTTTATATTTAAACAAAGCTTTATGCTATAATATGTATTTAAATATTATGTATTATGGCGTTAGGTTGTAAGGCATATCATGTACCTTTTAATATTAAATAAATAAATAAATAATAATAAAATAACATGAGACTTGTAACAAACCTGATGAGAATGAGGTGTTGTACTTATTTATGTGATAAGCCGGTAAACGAGCAGACGGATCATCCAATAGCAAATATTTTTTTTTTTTTTTTATTTATTTATATCAGGCAACGAAGGCCCATATTAAAATACAATAATACCATAATATCTACTACAATTTTAACTTAAAATACTATAAATACATAATTTAAATAATAAATTGAAACACTAATTATCACGACTATTGTGCTGTGTCGGCGTCGTGTGCTGCGCGGTGTCAGGTATCCGGCCGCGGAATCGCCGGAAAACAACACCTTTCGGCCAAAACTCTGGTGTCATGAATTTCGGTAAATCTACGGAAGGCACTCTCACAACAAATGAATTGAAATTCACGCTGTGGTGGGATTCTAATTTCAAAACCCTTAGAGTGTAATTCGTTTTGATCTGAATATACTCTACAATCTCCTCGACCTTTGTAGAGTAATGCAGCCTGGACACGTACAGCAGCGTCACTGGTACAGCTGGACGCAGCAAATGTTTCGGCCCGGTCGGTGCAGTGCCGCACTTGTTTTGGGATGACTTCTTTTTCCCTTTTGATGATAATCCCATGGACACCAGAAAAACCAGAAGCGTTACAAGTAAAATTAGTAATTTGAGGATTGTTGGAGATTCGGAGATTGGGGAGATTGGAGAGGTAACCCGATGACCTAAGTCACACGACTGTTTGTTGTAATTTTTTGTTGACGTTCAAAAGTACGTTTTTGGTATAATTGAAATAAATGATTTTGACTTTGACTTTGACGACAAAACACAAAGCAAGTATTGTATGTATATTGTATATTACATGAGACATAGAGGCAATAACTAAGCTTTTGTATAAAATAAACTACTAAGGTACACCCAAAGTTTGTTTGCAGATGTATATCGAACTTGTACCTCTAATTAAACCAGTGTAGTTTTGAAGTTTAACAGTTTTGTGAGCCCATATCAACTTCTATTTGCACTTTGGAAGTTTTCGATTGTAACTTAGTCTATTATTAATGGGTTAGATAGCTTCTGTAATGTATGGCTTTCAAAAAGATGGGGTTCAAGGCAATTTATCGTGTTAGTTGTAAAGTTGTTAGTGATATTGTTTGATTAACTAGTGCCTATGTGGGTAAGTGTAGATTGTTGATGAACATGGTTAATGTAGGTATTATTATGATGATTAGACTGAGATATTTTTTATTTGTTGTTAGATGTATTGTAATTTGAAAACCTATTAAAATGAATCAAGACCAATACTTATTATTATATGTATTCTATGATAAAATTTGCCGATAAACGATGACAAAAAAAAGACGGCTCTACGTTCGAAACCTGTAGTGTAAAAGTAACTTTTTATAACTTATGTGTTTACCAAGTTTAGTTCACATCACTGGCATACGTAAAATATTGTGAACAGCTGGCGTAGTGATCAATACTCATTCCGTCTTCAAATGTAAATGATGAATCACTGGATCACAAAACCAGTAGCACAAAGATAAACTATCAAAACATTTCATTTTCCACGTGTACGTAAAAGTGATTGGTGAAATGATTTGTTTATTTTAACTTGAAGTCGTCCTTCTGTCCCTTAGGAGTCATGAGAAAACGTTTGTCCCCACCTGCAAATATTTTCACAACCTTCCCACACAATGAGAATGTGAATTCTTTGTTTTTCTTTTTCTTTTACTCAAGATTTCCGTGGCCTTGTTCTAACTTTTTCTATTAATAAACATTAGGTGAGCTTTTCAAATGAAAAGTTATATATTTTTAGCTCCACGTTTAATCTAATTATGTTTTAGCTGAACTTAGATTTAGATTTCGTGTTTGGTTTTTGTTGTTCCTAGAGGTAATGGTGATTTAGAGGTACCAAATTTGATCCTCGAGTAAAATATGTTTAGCTTATTTTGCATTGAAATTCTCATTATAGTTGAAATATAGAATTAAATTCTTCAATTAAAAATATAAACATTTAAACTTTTGCTATCCATTTTTTTTTTAAGGGGGGAAAATCATCGAATGACTGCTCCCGCCTGGGTGATGCGGAAAGGAGTGTCAGACTATGCTACGCATAAGTTTGCTGTACCGACAGGATTCGTACTTGTTACCTGAAACTGTATTTCCTACCCATGTATTTGTACTTACATTATGGATGCAAAAAATACTTTAAGCTAAGTAATAAAAAATGCATTTTGACGTAATATAGTAAATATTCTTTAATAAGAACTCGTTTCTTAGTAGCTTGATTTTTATTAGTGGTTCTCCTGTTCAATACAGACGAAGCTATTATCAATGGATATTACCCATCGCTATCAGAATTGAGCCATTTGTCTGCAGCGAGTCTCGGTGGCGATCGAAGACGACTAGCTTCTCTTTGTGTTCAATTGATGGTGTATTTCTACGCAGCTGTGTTGTAGCTATGATTTTGTTGCCTACCTTATATTTTCTCATCTACTTATATTTTCTTAGAAAAAACTAAACAATACCGATATAAAGATAGGTTATGGTACAGATAGGGTACAGAATGACATTAATGGGAGCATAAAGCTAATAAATCAAAATGTAA